TCTCTCTCTCTCTCTCTCAGCTGTAATTCTGCTATAACCACTTAATGGCAGGGATGGTCACAAGTCCCTCTCTCAATGAAACTTTTTTCATCAAAAAAGCCAAAGAGACAGTAGCAGTAAGTAGCAGTGATATGGAGTAGAAGCTTAATAGTCTGCCCCCTCTTTCAATCGCTCTCTGTCTCAGAATTTAACAGAAGTAATATAAAAGTCATACCCTTTGTTCAAGACTTCTGTTCTTCCTTTCTATCTGTGGGTTCTGTATCTGTCGTTGAAAATCTTCTTCTGCTGGTAGAATTACAGAGACCCCACCTCTTCTTATATTTTTCAAGATTTTGCAGTTGTGGCTACTACTAGGAGGCTACAGTCGGATTCTGGGGCCTTCGCGGACTGGTTGGCTTCATCTTCGTCCTCTGCCGGGGACCTTTCTTTGGGATTCAATGCCGGACCCACCGCCGGTGATAACACCAGCAACACCGAAGCTGGTACCGGTGGAGGAATGTGGCCCTCATCTACTACCACAAGGCATGTTAACTACGGCTTACCTCCGGAATTCTTCGTAGTTGCGCCGGCTTCTTTCCATCATAATACTCAGCACCACCACCACCCGGAGGCTGCCGCTGCCACCACCATCAACTTCGATCATCATGGCATTAATGCATCTAACGCGGCGGCTGCCATAGGCGTTGGTGTGATTCCTCTCCTCACGGCGGCCCCTTGTCTAAATATGGGTTCTACAGATGAGGACTTGTCGATTAATGTACGAAATCGCAGTGGAAGTGGGATGCAACTCTGGCAAAATCAGCAGGTACAAAATACTTCTGCTTATTCAAAAAAACACATGATTCAGGATCATAATATTCTACTTCAGACCGGTAGAGGAGGAAGTAGCTGCGGCGGAGGCGATGGAATTGGAGGATCTTCGTCCGGAGCAACCACTTGTCAAGACTGTGGAAATCAAGCTAAAAAAGATTGTAGCCGGCAAAGGTGTAGGACTTGTTGTAGAACTAGAGGTTATGATTGTGCTACACATTTGAAAAGCACTTGGGTTCCCGCTGCACGCCGTCGTGAACGGTTGGCCATGGCCGCTACTGCCGCCACCGCCGGCTCTTCTCAGTCCACCTCCGGCGCCAAAAAACCTCGACTCGGCACTTCTTTAACTACTACTGCTTCTCATACTTCAACTTCTAACAACACCCCTCCTAGAAGCTTTGATACCAGTTCTAGCCACCAAGGTATCATCTTTTTACACTCTGCACAAACATATATTATTTTCTTTAAAATTGAGAATTATTAATATCCATACAGGTGCAAGTTTTAAAGAGCCATTTCCAGGCCAAGTTCGAGCGCCAGCAGTGTTCAAGTGTGTTAAAGTGACTGCAGTTGATGATGGCGACGATGAATATGCATACCAAGCTGTAACGAGAATTGGAGGCCATGTTTTCAAAGGATTTTTATACGATCAAGGTGTCGAATCAAGAGATGGATTTCCCAACATATCGGACTTGCATTTAGGGGGTAGCAGTGGCGGCGGGGGCGAGGGAAGACACGGGGCTTCCTCTTCGTCCCCAGTTCTCGATGCATCTGATGTTTACGCTTCCGGGGGCGGGTTACTCGGAGGATCAAATTATGGGATTCCAATAAATTGATTCTCTCTCAAAGCAGTGGATGCAAAGACTCAAAGCAGAAATTCCACTGTATTCTAAACCTTTTATCACTGTTGCTAATAGGTTCTTGATTATTCTTCTTGTAGACTTTTTAATTATTAACAACTTTCTTTCACTTTCGGCTTCAGCTCTAGCCTCTAGCCTGTTTTCCGTAATAATTCTTCATGAGTATAATCATTTGCCAGAAAAAGATAATTCCCTTAGATTAGTTTAGATATTCTCTCTATAAATATTATCTTTATCTTGTTTCTTTTGTATGCAGTTCTGCACTATCTTCTGGTCGTGTGTGCAGAAAAAATCCAGTTCTGAAAAATTCTTGTTTTAAAAAAACGACTGTTGGTACACGGTATTCTTCATGATCTGTATATTTTCATATGCATTGTGCCTTAAATAGTT